CTCTTTTTTGTGGGGGGAAGGGAGGTGCTGTGTTTTGGACTTTGTCACCCGGCCGAGTTTTCTCGTGCGGGGATAGAATTCCTTCCTGTCCATAAAACCCAAGAAGAATGGAGGTCGGGCTGTTCCCTGCTTTATCTAGAGGAATGTGCTTTTCCTGCCCCTTCCACAATGGCGGGCACCTCCACAAATCATTGCCCATCCCCAAGGCCTCCCTGGGTGCCGATGTAGTGTCCAGTGCAAGGGGGTCCTGGCCTTGGCTGGGGCCTGCAGCGCAAATAAGAGGGAATAATCAAAGCTTCCAGGGCACGGTCTGTTGGTCTCTCAGGGAGGGAAGGGTGCGAAACGCTGTGAATGTGCTGCTCTGATGTTCAGTCCCACTCAGTGCACCCTGGTCATTTCCTGGCCATTGCTAGCATGGTCTGTCCCGCCACCAGGAACAGATTGTCCCTCCCTCTTCCCACACCCTAGTGTTCCATTCGCAAGCACACGGGTTTTATAACTAACTATTTCCCCACAGCTGCTCCAACCTCTGGAGCCCACAACAAAGCACCCAGGTTTGCCTTCAGTCTGTAAATTCCTCCCTAGAGCCATTAATTTACCCATTTTGCTTTCCTGCACCTCAGCAGCATATGCCTGGGTGCCCCAGTGCAGGCCGTTGCTCATGTTTCCAGAGGCATTCCCAGACCAGGGCAGGATCGACACTGGTAGACAAGCCCATAACATCCCAGTGTGGTGGCTTCCCATTCCGTCTCCCAAAAACACAGCTTTGCTCATTGCTCTTTGAGTGTCTGTTCTCTGGGTATCTGTCCCGCAGCCCCCACACAGCTCCCTACACTGGATCCTGGGTTAGAGGTTTGGTGGGACCTTGTAGATGAGATTTAAAAAAATCCAAGATCCTGAAAATTCGTGGTTATTAAAAACCCCACCACCCTTTTCGCCAGAGAAGAGGCGTTCGCCCAGAGGGCCTGTCAACTTGGGTAACTACATTCAGCTTTCTATAAGGAAAACTGTACTCAGAGAGTAGTCAAGCTGGAAGGGCAAATTGAGTGGGTTCCAGCAGGGATCCATCCTGGATCTGGTTCTGTTCAGGGTCTCCAAAAATGATTTGGATATCAGCACAGAGAGCACATGTACAAAGTTTGTGGACAATACCAAGCTATTGCAAGTGCTTTGGAGGACAGGATTAGAATGCAAAATTATCTTGACAAACTGGAGAACTGGTCTAAAATAAATAGGATGAAATTCAATACAGACAAATGCAAAATACTCCACTTAGGAAGGAATAAGCAACTGCACACACACAAAATGGAAAACAAGTGTGTAGGAAGGAGCACAGCAGAAAAGGATCTGGGGGGTCACAATGGGTCTCAAAGTAAATATGAGTCAACAAGGTAACACCATTGCAAGGTAACACCATTGCAAAAAAAAGCAAACATAATTCTGAGACGTACTAGCAGGAGGGTTGTAAGCAAGACACAAGCAGTAATTCTTCCGCTCTACTCCACGCTGATACAGCCTCAGCTGGAGTATTGTGTCCAGTTCTGGGCACCACACTTCAGGAAGGATGTGGACAAACTGGAGAAAGTCAGGAAGAGAGCAACAAAAATCATTAAAGGTCTAGAGAACCTATGAGGAAAGGTTGAAAAAACTGTTTGTTTAGTCTGGAGAAGAGAAGATTGAGGGGGGACATGATAACAGTCTTCAATTAGATAAATGGTTGTTATAAAGAGGAGGGTGATTAATTGTTCTCCTTTGCCACTGAGGACAGGACAAGAAATAATGGGCTGAAATTGCAGTAAGGGAGATTTAGGTTAGAAAAAACTTCCTAGCTGTAAATTACAAACTACCTGGAGAGATTGTGGGATCTGCATCACTGGAGGTTTTTAAGAACAGGTCAGACAAACACCTGTCAGGGATTTCAGGGGCTAGATCAGTGTGTCTCAACAGCCAGCCCCGGTATCTCCCTAACACCATTTAGGAAGGCGGCAAGCCAATCCCTGGTATCAAAAAGGTTGAGAAACACTGGGCTAGATGATACTTATCTCTGCCACAGCGCAGTGAATGAGACTAGATGACTTATCAAGGTCCCTTCCAGTCCTACATTGCTATGATTCCATCTGAGCTCTGAAGTGGAGAAATTTTTTGCTTCGTCTACTGCAGCACTGCTGGGTAATGTTTTTCTGTGTCCTTAAACATTTGCTGTGTTTCACCCCAGAGGCAGTTGCTTTTCGATGGAGATGGAAGCAAGCACTTTATTCAGAGCCAGTGAAACGTGATGGGATCTTTTGAGATGAAGGCGTGACTGCGTCATATGTACAGCTGTTAGCACCACCTATGATGAATGTTGCCCGATACTTTCCATTGTAAGACCCTGTTTTCAAAGCTTTGCCAGACTTTAAGCATGGGATGAAATTTGCCATGCTGGGTGTCTGCCTCAGACTGAAACGTTGGGGAAATTTCAGCTAAAACAGTTCAGCAGTTTCCAAGAACGAGGCTAGGGAGAACTACATCCTTTGGCCCATGTTAAAAAAAAAATGCCCAGCTGCTTCATTAAGAAGCTCAAGCATCTCCATGCTCTGGAGCAGGGACTTGAAATGTGGCAGGGGACGTTTCCCTGGAGCCAGGGAGGTGCCTTTTGCCAACACTGAAAATTCACCCAAACTTGGCCAAGTTATAAGCCTCTAAAAAATCTCAATGTGCACTAGATGGAGTTTGGCAACTCAAGCCACGGAGGCTTCCATCCGCACTGAGCATGCCCCGTCCCGCCCCTGCTCCTCCAGGTGGCTGGACTGCACATGTGCCATCCACACACAGCGCCCGAGCATGAGCCAGCCTGGCACGGCAGAGGACTGGCCTGTGGCTGCTCTTTGCCACAGTGTGGGGCTGCAGCAGGCACCAGAAGTGACAGCGGGGAGCCTGTCTCTCCTGGGCTCTCCCTTACCCACGTGCTGGGCCCAGGCCACATGGAGGAGGAGGAAGAGGGGTGAGGAAGAGGGAAGATACAGGGTGCGGGACAGGAGCTAGGGACCAGATCCAAAGGGAGAGGAGCAGGCGAAAGGACAGGAGCTGGGGGGTGAAGGGGATGGGGCAGGGACTGTATCTGGGTTGGGGAAGCAGGGGTAGAAGAGTCTGTGACCACAACTACGCTCTCCTCTCTAGAACCTGGAATGGAACCCAGGGTTCCCCTCTCTGCATTCCTCCCCTGTCAGCTTGCAGTCCCTATGCCAAAGCGTGTGTCTCCATCCTGCTTGAGCGCTGGGTCCCCACAGAAGGTAGCAGCCTTCTACTGCATCAGTTACACCCGGTAGATTTAAAGATCACAACTCTGCTGAGGACCCATGTGTCTGGATGTGGGTCCACAGCGTGGAATGTTGTTTTTTTTTTCCCAGTGTTCAATTTTATTTATTTGTTTAAATGAGGAAATGATGTCCCAAAGAGTTACATTACAGAACATTAAGGTTGCAAAGTGAAGCCCTGCCAAGTTAGGAATGCCAGAATGAAGGCTGCCAGTCCAGCTTTAATCCTTGTGCGCATGCATTGTGATACCTTCTTTCATGACATGAACCCATGCCATCATAGAGTACTGTTTACACCAAAATGGCTAGGTCCCATTTGATGTGAACGGAAGGTACGATTGTTAAATCGATGTGTTGGGAACGAAGGTGGCTGGGGAGGAGCAAGAAAGGAAATTCTGCTGTGAGAAAATACAGCCTTGCCAAGATTACCAATGTTTATTTATATTTGTGTAAAGCACTCAGCAGGAGCAGTGTCTAGGTCCTGGACAGATCATTAAAAGCCCCATTTCTTTCCGAAAGAAGCATATTCTCGGGTTTGTCCAATCCTTAATTGGCTAGGACCTCTGGCTGGCTGGCTGGCTTTCTATTACATCTAGCGACTACAGCTCGACGTGTGACCCCTGAACTTGGAGCTGTGGGCGCAGGGACTGGCTCTTTGGACCCACTCCACACACAGATCCACAGATACAAGGCAGAGTTAGGTGGAAGTCAGAGTTTCTTTGATGGAAAACTTGCCATTCAGTGAAATGGAAAGTGTCAGCGGAAATGTCTGTTTTTATTGAAGGGGGGGGGGTCACTGAAAAACCGAAATTCTTTTAGTTGCCAAAATCCCCCCCAAAATTCAAAACACGTTTATTTTAATGGGGGGGGGGGACCGACAGAAACACACAAAAAATAAAGAAAAATTGGTCGGGGGAAGAAAACCGATTCCCACCCGGCTGCGAAGAGTGCCCGGCAAGTAACTGATTTCTCGGTTAAACCAGCGCGACCCTTGTGCGAAGAGAAGCCCTTTGTCCCTTGCCTGTACAGCCCCAAGCACACCAGGCCCCGAGCCCTTCCCGGGGGCGGGGGTGTCTGTGTGGCTGCAGGGAAACACCCAGCTTCTCTTATTAACGAGGGACGGGCAGCAGCAACAGGCGCAAACGGACCGTGGGGGGGACGGGGACAAGAAATGGCGGGTCACTCTTGGCCAGACAAGCCCGCGGACGAGGAGGAAGAGCCGCCGCGGTCAGGCGGGGCCGGGGCCGGGGCCGGGGTGAGGCCAGGCCAGGGCTCCCAGGCACGGCGGGAGGCGCCCGGGGCTGTAATCCCAGTTCCTGGGCTCATTTATTACTCACCTAATCGCGCAGGGAATGTGTCTCTCTTCCAAGCCTCGGGGGTGGGTGGGCGCGGGCGGGACACCCTGAAACCCTCAGCCGAGGGACTTTGGGGGCGTTATTCCGGGAGGCCGGCTGTGAACCCCCCGCCCGCGGGTCCCAGGCTCGGACAGCGGGGAAAGGTTACAAACAACGCACAAAGAAACCGCACTGCGCGGGGCAGCAGCCCAGGGCCGAGTAGGTATTTACAGCCGTGAGTCACAGCTGATCTTTGCAGGGCGCTGATTGAGTAAGAGGAGCGCGATTTCAGGAAATGTCATTGAGATGGGGGGGTCGGGGGGGCTTTCTCCCACATCTCTTTCTTTTGCTCTGCAGCAACCCAGAGACAAGCGGGTGGGGGCTATAGGGGAAATACTATAGGATCTCTTCTGACTAGGGTTTGTAAATTTCTGTCCCCCCATGGGGGCGGGACCGGGCAGGGTGAGGCGGGGCCAGAGACATATTAAGAAGCTTGTCAATTTCAGTTGTTCAGACTTGCTTAGGACTTTCCAAAACTTGTTGGTGTTTCTGCCCCCCCCCCCACCTCCCCCTTCCACTCTGCTCCTCTTTCAGGCATTTCTCAAGATCTCTTTAAATTTAAAATTGGGGTGTGTGAAATACACACCCGGGAAAAAATTTGAGGGGAACCCCATTCCCCATTGGGAACATCTGCCGGGGAGAAAGGAACCATTTCTGCCCCTCGAGGTGGAGAACAACCCCCCAGGCTCCCACACAAAAGTGCTGAAATATGATCACTTTTTTGTTCCTTTGGCTTGGTCTTTCTCGAGTGGAATCCTTGACATGTAAGTAACGCCGCATTCCGTTCTCTCCCGGGCCTTTTCTCGGTAAGGTGGGCAGCAGATGCACGGATGTTTTGCAAGTCAGTAATAGACAGTATCTGATGGGACAATGCTAGCAAGAAATCAATAACCGGTTAGGAACTAGCAAAGGTAGGGGTGTGTGTGTGTGGTGAGAGAGAGAGAGAGAGTTGGGGTTGGGGGGTTATGAGGGAAATAGAAAAACCCAGCAACATGTGACACGAAAGGGGAATTTTTAAAAGCCTGAAGAAAATTACCTTTGCAGTTGCAAGGTGGGAGAGCGCGCTTGGTAAAAGGGGATCTCCCGGCCCAGGCAAAGGTGCCTTGCTAGGGACAGAGACAAGGCAGAAGGTCGAGGGCAGGATAGTTTTAGATAGCAGGGGAGGGGCAGAGCCCGCCCGGGCCAAGCAAGGTTGTAGAGCAAACGGCCAGTCCATTGCCAAGGGGTGGGGTGGGGCGCGCGGGGTAGATTTTGCTCTGAGCAAAAGTTGAGGCGCCCGGAGTTTTTTAATTCCCAGATAAACGCTTCGGGGTTTGCCCGAGCCCTTTGCCCCGCGCACACGGGATGGCGGGTGCACGGATCTGCCCCCCCCCAAATGTCGTGCAGGGGAGAGAGGCACCGACAATGGGAGTGGACGCCGGGAAGCTCCGTGCGCCCCTGGCGCAGCGGCCGAGGGGAGAGCGCAGAAATCGGTGGTGCGGGCTGAAAACGCGGCTCCTCCGAGGACCATCTGCAGCAAACCAGGGCGAAATGCGCCCCCATTCCCTCCCTGCACCCGGCCCCCTTGCTGGGGCGGGGCGCTTCCCCGTTGGGGTCTCCTAAGGCCCCTGCCCCTCTTTTTCGTTAATCCTTATTTTTCCTCCTTTGCCATCCCATTCATTTTCTCTCTGTGGATTTCCGAGGCGCGCGGGGTCGGGGGTCCCAGGCCCTATAATAACTCCCCCACCCCAGCCCAGGTTCTCTCTGGGGCCCGTCCCCCCGGTCCCTGCCCATCTGTGCTCCCCGGATCACGCACACACACCCCGTCTCAGGCACGGGGCGAGCCTGGCTGGGCGAGTCCAAGGAGAACGTGCCGGGCTCGGGCCGTTGACATGACAAAGGGTTCCCAGCGCACTGCCCCGGCCCCCAAGCCCCCCGAGGCAGAGGGGAATTTCGCTCCCGCGGGGTCCCAGCCTGCGCGCAGAGAGGGGGGATCTTGTCTGCGGAGAGCCTCCGGAACCGCACCTGGAGAGGGGGATCCCTTTGCTCCGCGCCAAGCGCAAAGGTGGGGGGCTGAGCAGCGAGCCGGGCGGGGGGGCCATAACAAAGGGCTTTATTGCTGCAAATCCAAATCCTCCGCGGCGCGGGGCGCCAAGCCTGGCCCGTCTCCCTGCGCGGGGCGGGCTCTGAGCCCCAGCGCAACAAGGCAGCCAGGGCCCGCACAGATCCCGCGGTGAGATCAGCCGGGGGGCGGGGGGGGGCTGAGAAAACCCCCTTCCCCTGGGCTTCGTCTCCCGTCTCCTGTCGCCCAGCCCCCGCTGCTGGGCTTGGGGTGCTCGTTCTGCAGAGCCGCCGCGGGGCGCAGGCTGAGGCCAGGTGCGGGCGGCTCCCCAGGAATGAAGCGTCCTAACCCCCTTCGCGATTTGTGTCCCCCCCCCCGCGGGTCCACCCACGCCCAGCCCCAGCGGTTCCCTGGGGGAGCTGCTAGCCCAGTCCCGGGGGAGCACCCGCCTGGCGCGGCGACCAGCGATCCGGGAAGCAGCCGGGCAAGGGGACGTGTGCCCAGACCCGCCGCAGGGCTCGACTCCCAGCTCGGGACCTGAAGGGCGCAGCCCCCGTTGAGGACAATGGAGAATCCCCCCTCCCCCACTGAGAACAATGGAGAATCCCCCCTCCCCCATTGAGAACAATGGAGAATCTCTCTTACCCCCATGGAGAACAATAGAAGGGAACCCTCAGTCCCACTCCTGGTCCGTCTGGGCAGTGGAGGCTGGTCTGTTCACTCCGTGGAGCAGAGCAGGCCCTTCAGTGGCTCCTAGGGCCCAGATATTTCCCTCCAGGAGAAGGGTCTGGGCTTTGGGTGGGGGGCAAGTTTCTGCCTCCTTCCGTTGGGATGATCATTTCACCAAGAACAAATCTCTGTGTGTGTGGCTGGGTGTGCTTATCTGTGGGGCGTGTGTCTCTCTGTGTGTAGGAGCAGGGGGGAGTGGGTTTGTGTGTGTGTATTTGTGGAGTGTGTGCCTGCCTGCATCTGTGTGTGGATGGCTGTGTGTAAGTGTATCTGTGTGTGTCTCTGTGCGGGGTGTGCGCTTATCTGTGTGTGTCTGTGTGTATCTATAGGTGGTGGGAATATATGTGTGTGTGTGTGTGTGTTTACCTGTGGTGTGTATCTGTGTGTGTGTGTATCTGTGTGTGTGTAGCTGGCCTGTGTGTGTGTATCTGTGTGTGTGTGTATCTGTGTGTGTGTAGCTGGCCTGTGTGTGTATCTGTGTGTGTGTGTGTGTGTATCTGTGTGTGGATGGCTGTGTGTAAGTGTATCTGTGTGTAAGTGTATCTGTGTGTGGATGGCTGTGTGTAAGTGTATCTGTGTGTGTCTCTGTGCGGGGTGTGCGCTTATCTGTGGTGTGTCTGTGTGTATCTATAGGTGGTGGGAGTATCTGTGTGTGTGTGTGTTTACCTGTGGTGTGTATCTGTGTGTGTGTGTATCTGTGTGTGGATGGCTGTGTGTAAGTGTATCTGTGTGTGTCTCTGTGCGGGGTGTGCGCTTATCTGTGTGTGTCTGTGTGTATCTATAGGTGGTGGGAATATATGTGTGTGTGTGTGTTTACCTGTGGTGTGTATCTGTGTGTGTGTATCTGTGTGTGTGTAGCTGGCCTGTGTGTGTGTATCTGTGTGTGTGTGTGCGTGCATCTCAGAGCAGGGAGTGTATTTCCTAAGGCCCCAGAAGTGCTGTTAACACAAATTAGCCTTTGGTTCCTGGAGCTCTGTTTTTGTTTCCCAAGCAAGGGGCGGGGGGGGGGGAGGAATTCCCTTTCTCCTGGAGCAGGAAGTTGGTGCTTCCTTTTTATGACGGGAATTTCTCAATACGCTCTTCGCCGCAAACACCCGGCTCGCCCGGCCAAGGAGGGCTGCTGCTGTGGTCTGGGAAGCCCGGGCCGGACAGACCACGCCAGCCACACCTAGGGCTGCAGCTGGGCGCCCGAAACCTCAGCCAGGACAGTCCCGCTCCCAGGCCCCTGTGGTGAGAGCAGGTGCCCGCGACACCGCTGCTGTGGGCTGCTGGGACTTGGGGCTTCCCTCCCGCTCGGTAGCCTGGCGCTGTATCTGGCCGGTACGACCCAGGCAGGCTCCGCAGCGCCGAGCCTTGTTCCCTGACAGGCAGTAAGGAGCGTGCAATGACTTATTTAATGATTGATTCACAAGAACCGTTAGCAGTTAATCATTAAACGGCAAAAGCTAATTCTTCGGGACTGAAATAGCAGCTAAGCTGGGGTCCTGCCAAGGAAACTCACCCAAACGGAGGAATTTGGAGTTAAAGCCACCTGAGGGTCTCAGAAGTGTGGCCAGCTTCTCTCCAGCGGGGGGCCCATCCTGCACTCCCATTACACTGAAGTCAATGGAAGTTTTGCGTGGGCAGGGTTTACAGGACCAGGCCCCAAGTGTGAGGCAGTCCCCGGGCACTCCTGAGTTAATACTGTGTGGGTGGCATTTGCTGTGTTAGTGGGGTGTCCCACATGCCAGCTGGCCCGGGCATTGCTCTGGTCAGCAGGGTCCCAGGTGAGCGGAGACATTGCTGTCCAAGTCTGGAGCTGTTCGATGGGCACCTACATTGGCAGGGGGTGATTGTTTAGGGGGTTTGTGGCCAGATTAGGGTGAAGGTAAGAAATTCAAGCTCAGTTTGAGGACAAACCTTGTCTGTTAGGCTGGGGAGCAGTCCTCCCATATGGAACTGCCTTGGAGTCTGTGTTTTCAGGTACCCTCCTGGGGAGAACTGGGCTAGATGTGACCTGCCAGCCCTAACCGCCTCCTTGGGTAACTCGCCTGATTTCACTGGAGTTCAGTGGATTCAGCCCTTTGATGCTGGCTGGAGTACTCCTATGCACGGACAGGTGATCCAAAGGGACAGCCAGAGACGCAGCAGGGTCTGCTAAATGCACAGGGCTGGGGGAGAGCAGGGAACGTGCATTTCAGTGGCTTGTCTGGAGCTGCCGTTGGGCAGGGGGGAGTGTGCCCTTTTCCTAAATCTCCAGAGTCTATGGTCAAAAGTATTTTACCCCCTTTTTGCTATCAGGTTGGTGGGGGAGGGGGACGGTACCTCTAGGCTGGTGACACGTTCCCCCATCACAGCTAGAGTCACCACAAAACATCCCAGAAGAGGGTGAGAATGGAAGTGGCCAGAGAGATTCCAACGAGAACACAGCAAGCCAGGCACCGTCCTGTGTATGGCATTTCTGTTGCCCCAGCAGACTTGGCAAGATGTCCACCCAGGGACTCACACTTTCCTATGGGTCTCCTGGGCTGTGAGACACGTGTCAAGAACACTCTGGGGAACCTCCCAAGGTATAGACCACAGAACATGAGCCCCAAATCCCTCCTGTGGGGTGTGTGTTGATATCACAGTCTCAGGGGCTGGTGAGGCGCTGAGGTGCACAGAGAGGGTGACGTGCCCAGGAAGTCTCATAAGAGAGGTGGGACTGGAACCCATGTCGCTCTAGGCCCTAGCCAGAGCTTTACCCACAAGCTTGTCCTTTCTCCTTGGCAAAGGTAGACTGCTCTGCTCTGCTATTTTATGAACTCAGCCTGCATGAGTGGCTATGCTTAGGGTTGCTTTGAATAATGGAAATAGCAGCCCCCTAGGTCAGTGGCCAGTGTGTCATTTTCAGTCACTTATAACTTTATACATTTGGGAGCCAGTTTTTTTCAATCCTGTCCAAGGCACCCACCCTGCATGAAGACGAAGCCCATGCTAACTGTGACATGCAGAAATGAACCCCTCCGAGTGACCAGAACTCAAAAATAAATCCAAAGCACTTTTAAAATGGCTAATTCCCCCCACCCACACATTTGACTTTATTGATTTTGATAAAACATTTTAAAAGATTCACTTTTGAGCTGGGGGATGGAGCATGAGAAATGCAGCCTCAAAATGAGAAAGGGGAAAAAAACAGTAGGGGAAGATTGTGAAGGAATAAAGGATTTGTCCGAAATGGCTCTTTCGGTTGGGATTTCTGGGGTCTGTCACGTCACTTTGGCCCAGCAACAAGGGGATCTGTGCACCACATTTCCCAGGATCTGCGGGAATGTTAACTGTATTTTTTACACAATTTGAAACCATACAAATTCTCCTTTGTTTTCCCCTTTGGGGATCTTGCAGATAATTATTTTTTTAAATCTTTACAATTCCCAGTTAAAGCACGCTCTTGCTGTGTGATCTCAGAGGCTTTTCTCTGAGACTTTTTCCCCCTTTCCCAGGCATTTAAACTTCCAATATAAAAATAAAATGAAATCCGGCCCTTCAAAAGAAAAGAGTAAATGCTCCTGACACCTTGGACGTGTGGTTTTACTTTATAGTATTACTTAGCACCTGATCAGTGTTCTTTTAAAAAAAAATAGAAAAGTAATAAAACTTCTAGCAGGTATTTTAGTTCTGAGTTGTACATTCCACACATTGACTGTGTCTCTCTGGCCCATTCTGCTCCAATCTGAAAACTTCACACTTTTCCCTTTTAAAACACATGTTCATTTCTGGGTCTGTCTCGAAAAAACACTGCTTAAACAATTGGCCCCTGCAGACACTCCCTCTCTAAGGCTTTGCGTGGAGGACGGGAAATGTGTCTGTTTTATGACATTCGTACGTGTTTCCAGTGGTGTTTAGATTAAGATTTACTAGAATTAGGGTCCAGAGCATTGGCCCCTTTTATCCTCAGGGCTTCAGCTTTCTCACTGAGAGCTCCTCAGGGTTTGCCTGATGGAGGAAACGCTGGTGGATGGAAATGCTTGTGTGCAGCATGATTATGTTTTCAGAGGCCCTTTCGGAGGCCGAGGCGCGTTCTGTCCTACACATCGGGCTGGACGTTCTGAACTGCAGAGATTCATCAGCCACACCATCAGGGGCTCGTTCACCTCATTCCAGGGGCTCTCAGACCATACAGCAGCTGGACGGGCCTTTGTTTGTTTTTAGCAAAGGGGAATGTAAAGCTTTGTGCAGCTCCCATACTGCACACTCCCCAGTGGCAGCTCTGCACGCTAGAGACAAAGGTCCCCTCTGGGCTTTGGTTCCTCATCTCATTCAGGCATCTAGTTATGCTGAGGCCATTCTACGGGGCTAGCTTAGGACCATGCTGACTAAGCTGGCCCAAGAGAAAACACCACCCCCTTGATAAGCGATGTCAAGGTATCCCCTCGCTAGGCAGCCCTGTTCGTGGGCAGTGCCAAACATGTGCCAGGCATAACGAGGCCCTGAGCCTTGTCTGGGGGCCTCTAGGCACTAGCACGATATAAGGAAATAGCAATAAAGTGGGGACCCCAGTTTGCCACTGGAATACCAGGGCCCAACTCTGTTGACTTCAGGGATTGCACTGTGGACTCAGCTCCTTGCCCAGCACCTGTACGAGGCTGGGGCTTAAGGCTCAGTGTGTTCTTTTGTCATCAGTGCTGCAGGCAGGGAGGCTGCAGGCTGGCAGGGTTCGGTTTCGCCTGCCAGCTGTGGGGAGGGGCTTTGGGAGCTTTTAGGGTGCTGCCAGGGGCTCTGAGAATTAATCCCAAATAAATGCACTGTCTAGCTCACTGAAGTGCAATTCGCCCCTGAGCAGAGGGCCACAGGGGGAAGATCACAGCCAGGAGCAGAAAATTAGCCTTTTGGAGAAGCAGTTGCCTGGCTGACAAAGCTCTGAAGTGGCATCTGCTCAGCAGTGGTCGATTATAATATCTCCAGGGCAAACAAAGTGGTGCTGGAACATTAAGCGTGTTAGTCTCCATTAGGTGGAGATCGGTGGCATTTTCCATATTTTGATGGCTAGAAATGTTGTGTAAATCTCCAAGAGCTTGGCAGGGTGGAATATAAACAAACAAATAAACTAAGCCCTCAGCAAACCCTTTAATATACATGCTTAACCACAGGTTTCAGAGTAACAGCCGTGTTAGTCTGTATTCGCAAAAAGAAAAGGAGGACTTGTGGCACCTTAGAGACTAAATTTATTTGAGCATGAGCTTTCATGAGCTACAGCTCTCTTCATCAGATGCATCCTGTCTTCTGCAGTTTCCACAGTATGCATCCGATGAAGTGAGCTGTAGCTCACGAAAGCTCATGCTCAAATGAATTGGTTAGTCTCTAAGGTGCCACAAGTCCTCCTTTTCTTTATGCTTAACCACATGAGAGGTTCCAGGCAAGTTAGTGGTACCTCTAATAAAAGCATGGCCTTAAGAGTGGTGCGGAGTCAGGGCGTAAAATGTTCTCGGTGTCTCTCTCCGATGCCTGGAGTGAGATAAACACAGCGACTCTCTATGTACACTTCGGGCTGCACTGTCAAATGGAGGCATCTGAGCTCTGTGTCAACCGGGGCACAGGGCAGGAGTGCGATTGTAACAGCTCGCCCCCTTTCAGCAGCTGGTGCTTAGGAGTGCAAACTGGTGTGTGCAGACGAGCGTGATGCTCTGGGTGCACACTGTGCTCCTGAGTGTAGGGGATGGATTGGCAGGTCTAAGCTTCGACCCAGCAAAGCTCTCAGGTGCTGGGCAGCAGAACCTCACGCTGCCTGACCCTGAGTGCTTGGGAAAAATCACCGCGAGTTTCGGCACCTAGGCTCCTGCACAGCGAATGGGGCAAGAGAAGCCCCTTAGACTGTGATTCACAAAAGCCAGTGGGCTAGGCTCTCCCATGGGAGATGCCTACCAGAGGGGTCCCCAAGCTCCGGGGGACGCCTGCTTCTGCTCCAGTTCTCAGCCAGGAACCCGCTTTGGACTCCAGTGCCTCCTGCTGGTTTGGGGAGGAGGAGGGGTAGTCCTGTGAGACAGACTCTGTCACCTGGTGGTTAGAGCAGGAGGAGTCCTGTGCATCACCGTGGGCCGAAACTGGGCGTAGGTGCCTACAACAGGGACTTGTGCTCCCAACTCAGGCCTTACACACATGCTTAAAGTTAAGCAGTTCTCCAGGGCCTTGTTGAATTGGAGCCCTCCAGAACTGGGTTTATCGGAACAGCTCTGGGTCCGTGATACTTCCCCCTCTGGTGGGGGGAGGTCTGGCTGTGAATGTGTTTTTAGAAAAAGTGTTTCCACAGTTGCTTTTGAAATCCCCTTTGCCACGAGCCCCACCCACCAGCCATGGGCAGCCCCGTAGGCTATCAGCAACCAAAGCCAAAGCAAACCACATAAACAATCCCTGCCCAGGCAGCGGTGAGCGAGAGACACCTTCTCCACTGACACAATCAGCTTATTCTTGGAGAGAAACCCACATTCAATTTACATCTCACTGTTCACGTGGGAAAAAGCTGCCAAACCTGCCTATATAAATCCCAGGCATCTCCTAGGTTTTCATCAGAAGAGCAAGGGAGGATTTTTACCCAGCAGGCAGACCACAGTCTATTTGGGGGAAGAGCTAGAGGTCGAGCCACGTAAGAGATTGTTCCTTGATTTTTTTTCTTTTTTTCTTTTTTTGCTGCAGATCCTGCAGTCATATCCCCCCAAGATCCAACTCTGGTGATTGGCTCTTCGCTCACCGCCACTTGCTCAGTGAACTCTGACTTACACCTGAAAGCAGAGGACCTGTACTGGACTCTGAATGGCAGACGGCTCCCCCCAGAGTCCTACAAGGTCCTCAATGGCACCACCCTCAGCGTGGCTCTAGCCAACCTGAACGGGTCGAGGCAGCAGTCAGGAGATAACCTGGTGTGTCACAGCAGAGACAGCAGCATCCTGGCTGGCTCCTGTCTTTATGTGGGATGTAGGTTCGCAGTGCATCTGCGTCGAGAGATGTTGTTTTGCCCCAAACACCCCAGTCACAGACAGGAAAACAAACCAGCCCAAATTCATCCCCGGTACAAGTCTGCTGAGTTGGGAGCTTACACAGGGATGAATCTGGCTACACAGGGATATTTACCTTGTTCATTGATAAACCTTAACTTTAGATTGCTCCTCTCATCCCAAGGGGTCCCAAAGCAGTTTAAGGACTGTATGGATACAGCAGTCACTGCCCACCCACTGACATGCAGCTGTTTCTGGGGTGGAACATACTGGGCAGCATTGCTCAATAGCTTTTAGGAGGGGAAATTAAGAATAACATCTCTAATCAAAACTGTCAAGGGTATTTAGAGGGGGACAGAACCACTGGAGGGAATTTGGCCCAAACACTAGGCTAAATGCTCCAGCTCTTGTCAGAAAAGTTCCACCGGTTTCTACCAACGACAAGATGTTCAGAGAGATTTTGCTTCTCTTCCAGATGAGAAGCCGCGTTTTGTCATGTGTCCACCTGTTTCATTAGGGGCTGAGTATTTCATTAGAACAAACGGAGTAATTTAAAACAGTGTTGTTGGTTACCAAGAACACGAGTCAGAGAAGCCCCTGCAATATTAACAGTAATTTGTACACTAATCATTTGCACCTGTAACGTCCTTGCAATAATTTGCACTAACTGCTCATTTCCCAGCATTAATTAATGGAGCTCTGAGCCTGGGAGTTATCAGAGCTGGCTTTAGCCTCTGCATGTGAGAACACAACAACAGAAAGACTATTTGGCAATCACTGGTAAAATTACAGTTGTCCAAATCAATGATCATAAGATTTTATCTTAGGCTATTTTAAGGACACTTCTAGGAGTTTCTCAGAATACAGAGGCTTAACTAGGAACAGAACATCGGGGTTTTTTGGTTTTTTTTTTTTTTTGGTTTGTTCCCAAAAGAAAACTGTTTCAGATCCCAGCTCAGCAACAGAATAAATGGACGGATGTTTAAAAAAAACACCCCAACCCAACAAAAGCACTTACATTTAAAACAAAGAGCTGGAAATCATTTGCTCTTTCATGCACCTGCCAAGACCTGAGTTCAGGAGCCTGTCTTCCTCCTACAACAGTGGGTGGTTTTGTTGGCACCCAGCTCAGGGCATTTTCCTGTATTCCCTGGGGTGTTCTGGATGTTGATGATGTCATCCACGCTTGCGTGGGAATCACAGAATCCTGACCTTGGGTCTTGGCAGGTGAGTGACAAATGAGCTGATTTTAGTTGAGCATCTAAATGCATTTAGTCAGGGATCTTAAAACAGTTTGTTAAACAAACCAAAGTTCTCTGGCTCAGCCCTTGTAAGTCTCTGTGCTGCTTTGAGCTGGGGGAGCTTTGGCGGTTTCTTTGCAGAACGGGTTTCATGTCAAGGGTTCTTTTCCCTTTTAGTGCCACCAGAAAAACCAGTCAACATAACCTGCTGGTCCAAAAACATGAAAGACCTCACCTGTAAATGGGCCCCTGGCACAGAAGGCGAGACCTACCTCCACACCAACTACACCCTCAAATACAAACTCAGGTATGGGCAAGATGGGGCAGGGGGAAGGGAGATAAATTCCTGTTATATTTTGGGAGGCAAGTGTTGCAGCAAAAGACCTACAAAGAGGGGAACCAGTATGCAACTCCTCCAAGTTCCAACCTGCCCACCCCGTAGGGGAAAGACAGGCTGCAAGCTCTTGCCATCCAATCAGCGCCATTGGCCAGCATGTGCAATGAATTTGGTGGGGCTCAGTCTGATTCCTAACAGGCTTCTCCTTGCTGGCAGCCTGAGAGAGGCCAAGGACTGTATGAGCAGGGAGACCCAGGCAGGGTGCAGCCCAGGTGAAGCATGTCCTGCCACTGCTTCTTCTACACATGCTCTCAGGGAGGTTAAGAGGAGTGTGTGGCTAACACGCATAGTAGTGTGTGCCTGGACTCCTGGGTTCGATTCCCAGCTGTGGGAGGGAAGCAGGGGTTAGGGCAGGGGGTTGGGAGCCAGAACTCCTGGGTTCTATTCCCAGCTAAGCCACTGACTCTGTACCTGTCCTTGGGCAATCTCTCCGTGCTTTGGTTTTCCCATCTATACAATGGGGCAAATGGCACTGACCTAGTTCCTGGGGGATTGTGCGCATTATTCATTAGCATGTGGGAAGTGCTTTGAGATCCTTGGCTTTAAGGCACATAGAAGCACAAAGAGTCTTTGCTTTCTGGATAAATAGCATAAGTTGGTGTTTGGGGCTGGGAATCTAACGCCTTGCAAAGAGACGCTGCAAATATTAAACAGCAGATGAATGAATCACAGTTCCTGTTAGGAGCAGTTAACTCCTGTGTTAATATGGAGGCTGTCGACTTGGCAATGCTGTCCATGCCTAGTGCTCAACGGATTAATACCGAAAGAGCTCAGTGACATCAAAAGCTGCCAGTGAGGAAACCAGACACATCCCGGCTTAATGCACTAGAACCAATGTGCATCCGCAGAGTTCCGGAAGCAGTTTCAGCTGTCCATGGAAGGTTGGATGGAAACCAAGGGCCAAATTTTCTGCTGGTGCAAACTGACTGAATTGACTCCAGAGCCAATTCACCAGCAGAGAACTCGACCTGACGGGTGGGCTGGTGCCTCTGTTTGCAGGTGGTACGGCCGGGATAACACGTGCCAGGAGTATCGCACCGCAGGGCAGTACTCCTGCCACATCCCCAAAGACCTGGCTCTTTTCACGCCCTACGAGATCTGGGTGGAGGCCTCCAATCGGCTCGGAGTGGCTGTCTCTGAAGTCGTCATGCTCGACATTCTGGACGTGGGTGAGACATTGGCTTGTGCCGCCCTCTCCCTGCACGGGGTCACTGCTCGCATGGTTCCCACCTCTCTCTCTTTCCTTCCTTCCCATTTTTGGCGGTTTTTAAAGGGGTTTTTTTTTTACTAGATTTTTATTTTTGAGAGGGGGATTTAAATCCTTCAGAAACAGCCCATGGTCTCCACCCCCTCCCCAGCCTAGGAGGGGTTTAGCCACCCCATTGGGTGCTCCAGGGTGGAATCCCAACACAAGGGTCTTCATGGAAACCTCCCATTCCTGCCAGCTCCCCATGAGGCTGGGCGCACCATTGTGGGCCTGACTGCCGTGGGAAGCAGTAATGCACAGGGGAGGAGAGGGGAGCCGAAGGATTTCAAAGTCTGGTGGGAAGGCATAGGTCAGCCCGTCCCTAATTACCAGCGCACCTCTGCTCCCAGCTAACCTCCTTCCTCTGGAGCCGAGCGGCTCTGGTAATCCGAGCCCTGGCTGCTTGGAGCAGTGCAGAGGGGAGTTGGGGGGCTTCTCACACGCTAAAGAGCTGCTGACACCTCATGGAGAATGTTACAGCCCATTGCAGCGAGACCTGATCCTTCCTTGAGACCTACAGTCTCTGCATTCCCCTGCCCTCCTCCTGCACTGCCTGCAAACAGGATAGTCCCTGCCCTGCTCCTTCCCCACCTGGAGCCACAGCCCTCCCAACTGTGATGTCACAGCCAGTTGCTGCGGCGATGACTGTGATGTCACACACAGGGGATCATGACCTCAGCTGTGGGGGGAGGCGTAGCAGAGCTCCAAGAGGGACCAGGATCCTGGGTTCATGGCATCCTCCCTGGTAATAGAGAAGGACGGAGAAGGGCAACAGGAAATGGACGATATGTGAGCAGAATTGCTTCTAATCTAATTAGGATGTTTCTCCAAGTTTTCCTGGAGGCATCTGCTGCTCCTTAACCCTTTCTGCCCCACAAGGCACATGGCCAGGAAATGGGCTCCACCCCCATCCTGGGGCCTGCTGCCAGGCCAAGGCAAGGGGGGCAGGGCTGCCACATGACCTGAGACCAGATGTCCAGCCTGCATTGCGGAGAACACAAAACATCCCTGGCTCATGGCCGGAGGAAGAAATGCCCGTTTCCTCTTGTCGTATACTAGGGAGGCAGAGTAACCCAGCACGATGTGCTGATCCATGGGGCCCCCCAGGAGGCAGATGTCACATCCCCCTCGCAGACCAGGAATGGGCAGTTGCTATGGCCCAGTATGGGGAGGGGGTGCCCCACAATGCACATGTGCCCACCCCCCCATTGCACACGAACCAGCAACAACAGCAAGGCGAGCGAATGTCCCAGGCAACAGGAAGGGCAGCAAATGCCCACTGATTGCCCTCGCAGCAAACAGGGAAAGAGGCTAAAAGAAAGGTTTCATTCAGAGCTCCCTGCAAGTCCCAACTCTCCTCCCTTCCGCTTGTGCACCTGGCTGGTCTAGAGCAGCAAAACACTGTGGGTGCTTGGTCCTGCCCCCCAGCCCTAGGAGGGTCAGAGAGGCCCCCCAGTGGCTTGGGTGTTCATCACACCCACACCCCACCCCACCCCCTGAGCCCTCCCCCTGGGCTGGAGCATTAGCAGCTTACTTCCCTGGCCGGAGACGCACCAGTGGGCCCCGCAGCCACATGAGGATCCTGCTCCCAAGTGCTCCCGGCACCGTGCTCTAGAAGCCACGAGAATGAGAATGGGAGAGCTGCCTGCATGCAAGGTGCTTTTACGCTTTACACCTTACTCGGCCCGGGCATGAAAGTAACTGGACACAGGAGCAGATTCCTGCCTGAAAGCCTCCCCTGGAGGAGCAACCAAATCCCTTCCCAGGCCTTGTAAAAACAGGAGCTGGGACTGGGCACAGCTGCCGTCTGGCCAGGCCCTATTGCTCCCTGTCTCCCCGCACAAGCACTGTCTGTCTCTCTGTGGCGTCTTGGGCCCCCTAAAAGCAGCACTCCAGGGTGGGGCTATTCATTTAGGTCACGCCAGCAGCCCTCTCCCTGGCATTGCCTGTACTTGGTCCCCTTAACACGTCTTCTCCCCCTGGCAGTCACCACCGACCCACCGGCAGACGTCACCGTGAGCCGAGTCGGGGACCTGGAGGACCAGCTGAGTGTTCGCTGGAGCTCCCCGCCTGCGCTGAAGGATTTTCTGTTTCAAGCCAAGTATCAGATCCAGTACAGGGTGGAGGACAGTTCGGAGTGGAAGGTGAGCGTGAGGGAGCCCACACGTACCAGGACTCCAGGGGACAGCGCCTCACCCAGGTGGCCAGGAGACTGGAACCATGCACGCCTCCTTAGAGAGGGACTGGCCTGGTCCTGGTGCTCAAAGTCCGGCCTGGGCCTGGCCTGTCCCTCGCTCAGCGCAGGGCCGGGGGTTCCACAAAGGCCACGGGGTGCTCTGGGCATTCTTCCTCCCCGGAGAATGAGCTCCGTGTGGATCTCTGGGTATCGAGGGAAGGCGAATTCCAGGGTGCGGCTGCCAGCTCTGCTACAGGCTGGACCGTGCCTGGAACCCGCCCTCCTGCTACAGGCTGGACCGTGCCTGGAACCCGCCCTCCTCCTCTCCCGGCAGGTCGTGGACGACGTGGGGAACCAGACGTCCTGCCGGCTGGCAGGGCTGCGGCCCGGCACCGTGTACTTCGTCCAAGTCCGGTGTAATCCCTTTGGCATCTACGGTTCCAAAAAGGCTGGGATCTGGAGTGACTGGAGCAACCCCACAGCGGCCTCAACTCCTCGCAGTGGTGAGCAGCGTGGCCCCGCGGCAATAACCGTGGCAGGGGAGGGGAGAAGGGGCCCCTCTGAGTCCTCCGTGCTATCACGGCCTTCAGGCCACAGGGGAGGAGGCTGGGGCAATGCCGTGCCCCGGAGCACCTGCCAGGGACCCAGCCGATCTGCATGGGCCACTGGAGAGCAGAGCCCAGGCGGAGAGGCTGCAGCGAGGGGCCTCGGGCTGGCAGCGGGTACTTGGCCCATGGGCTCCCAGCTGGCGGGAGGGAGCCAGGTGAATGCTCTCGGCCATCGGGTACCTCGGGATTGTGGTGCTGGGCACTTCCCTGCAGCCAGGCACTATGCTGCGGGATGGCAGGAACCATCGATGCCCTGCCCAAGAGGTGCTGCCTGGCCTGGGGTGAGGCGGAGCCACTCCCCCCAGATGGTGCCTGGGGGCTCTGACAGCTGGGGCAGCTGCTATGGAAAAGCCAGCACTGCAGCTCCACCTTCTCCAGCTGAGGCTCTCACTCGTCACAGCCCCCCAGTTCTTTTGCCTTGGAGGGGTCCCTCCAGGCTCCCCAGCAGGCCAACAGCCTCTGCAATGCTCCCATCCCAGCCAAGGGTGGGGAGCGAGAGACCAAGGCCGGAAATCCAGCCCAGCGCCTCCCCCCAGATGGCTCGGAGCGCCGACTCCCCTATTCCTCCCGGAGATGTAACTTTCCTTGGCGTGCCGGGGGTCTTGGCACCCCGCCAGCTGCTGGAGTTCAGGGTCACCCCTCCCCACCCCCCTTGGCTCTGGCAATAATTAGATTAGCATTCAGTCCTGCTGGGGCAGCCATTCCTCCCGCGCCATATGCAAATTGGCTGCGATTCGCATTGTTTTTTGGGGGCAGTGGGGTTGGAAAGGGAGGGGGCAGGCGGGGTGGGGGGGGCGGGGCAGGCTGCCGAGGCCCCAGCAGCCCAGCCTCTGCTTCCCCACTTTCCGGAGCGCAAGGGACGTGCGGAGAGGTTGTTCCCCCCTTGGCCCCGCTCTGTGCCCGGCACCTGGATTTCTTGCAAAGGAGCCAATTCGGAGCTCTGATTTCCCAGCAGGGAGAGAGCGAACCTCGTTTTCACCCCTCGCACTGCGCCAGCATGGCCCCGCCGCTCAGCAGGGCTCTCCTGCCTTTATTTATTATGTGACTTTGATGTCACGCCTTCCCTGGGCATTTGTAACACGGGACCACTGGGGGATTTGCCCTAGTTTTGGAACAGCTCTGCCCCACCCTGGCCCTCGCTGGGGGACCCGCAGGCTCAGTACCTTGACTACACAAGAGGGGGAGCACGGGACCCCCACAGCTGCTCCCAGCCAAGAAAAGCCGCCGGAGGGAGCGGGATTCTTAGGCAGACGGAATATTTTAGGTCACATTTGGAGGCATTAAAACTCATAGGAGGGTCCTGTCTAGACAGCTTTGAAAATCGCCTTCACAGCCCCAGCCCCAGCCCCAGCCCCAGGGAGCAGGGGTAGGAGCCCTCCTGCTTCTGCAGGTGAGCCAACCACTAGGGAACATGCACCGGGGAGAAATGGCCCCCTCTTGTCAGTTCCAGAACAGCAGGGCTCCCGCCCTGTCTTCTGCTGCTGGCACGGCCAGAGCTGGGCCCCAGGCCGCAATTCCCGTGTTGCTCATGAAACCCAGAACGTGGCCAAAGACGAACTCATCCAGGGCCACAGAGGTGCTGCTGTTCCTGGGCATCCTCCCCCCGGTATCCCCAGCCCCAGCAGCACGGTGTTGACCCCCTCTGCTCTCCCTGGCCCAGATCGGGTCCCGGGCGTGTGCGACCCCAAGAGCGGCGAGCAGAACACCACGCTGCGTCGGGAGCTCAAACAGTTCTTCGGCTGGGTGAAGAAACACGCCTACGGCTGCTCCAACCTCAGCATCAAGCTCTACGACCAGTGGCGTGTCTGGCTGCAGAAATCCCACAAAACACGGAACCAGGTAGGTAAGGACCCTTCTCCGATTCCTTACATCTCTGTGCCGAGAGGGAGGCGGGCAAGGAGTTCGGGCGTCAGGTGCCCCCCACCCACGTCACCTCTCCCTGCGAGGAGGAGCAGAGTCTCCAGATACACAAAGCGGCCTCCACCAGATTCCCGCCACTGCCCCCCTGGGAGTTGCTCTCCATGGCCCTGAAGGGGCATCTTGCCTGCTGCAGCACCCGCCCTGAGGCAAGGTTTCACCAGCCCCGGTGATCTGGAGATGGGGGCCAAGGCTGGGGCACCTGGGAGCCAGCACTCGGAGGTGGTCAGGCCTCTGCACTTTCCCATAGCACAGGGGCTGCCCTCTGGATTTATACAGGGTCCCCGGCTCCTGGCACAGTGGCAGCCTTGTACGTGCCAGCCAGTGCCCGGCCTGGCAGAGGGTCTCATCCACCGGAGGCTGCATTCCTTGCCCCTGGCCATGAGGCTCCTTAGCATCCCCTCCACCTCTGCCCCCTCGAGGGGAAAGCAGCACACGCAGGCTCTGGCTGCCCTGCCCCGCTCTGGAGAGGCAAAGCTGCTGCCTGGACATCCTGCCCGGCCAGCCAAGCTCAGCTGCAGCAACTGGGGAATCTGGGTCCTGGGGCTGGCTCTGTCCCCCCTGCCCCACTGGCCTCCCAGAGACATTCCCGCCGGGTCTTGAGCCCGCGGTGCCCCATGTGGGAGCCGGCCCCAGCCCCAGCGGTTATAGGAGGAAGCAGAGTGCCCTGCATGCTTTACAGTTGCTGGACGGCGAACAGGCTGATGGGCCACAGACAGGCTGGGACGGGGGAGGTTTGCTCTGCGGCTGGCTGGGAGGGCGTGGCAGACATTTGGCTTCGCGGTTCCTGCCTCTGGAAGCTGGGCTGTGCTCTCGTTCTAGGTGCTACCCGGCGATAAGCTGTAGCCCCCGCCGTGCTCGGCAGTGGCAGGAGAGCAGAGGGAGCACTGGGCCGGAGCTGCATGGCACCCGCATGCGGCTGGACCTCACCCATCCCTCAGGATTGGGGGAAAGGGTGTGGACTCCCCCCACCCCCCAAAATCATTCTTCTCCAACAGGGACAGTAAGAAAGACTTGGACTTTGACCGGCTTCCCCAGGCTCTCCCCTCCCAGCATCCAGCCCCGCTCCCTGGCAGGGGCCCCTGGTGCAGCCTCCCTGTCACCGCTGGGTGGGGCTCCCAGCATTGCCAAGACACCCCTGGTGCGGAGGGTCCCTCCCAGCACTGAGGGGGAGCCGTCAATGCACACCCCTGAAGGGGGTCAGGCTGCTGTCAGCTGGCGGAGTCTGGACTCTGCTGCAGGTTGCCCCTGAGGCAGAATTAAGAAGTGGGGGGCGGGAATCCCCCCCTGGGCAAAGCGCAAACGACAGGCAGGATGCTGCACACGCAGGCCCTGTGCACGGCCCCTTTACACTGCCCACACTTCACCAAAGGGCTTCAGCCTCCGTAAGAATCCATGAAAATGACTGCCACCTCCCCCGCTGGGCCCCCTGGGGGCCCGAAGTCCAGCCCAGCCCTGCCCTCCCCCCCGCCACCCCCCACCCCGAGGTGTCAGGGAAACTGTTTCATTTTCTGGCTCCACATTAAACACCAGAGCGCAGAGCCACAGCCGGGGTTCTCCGAGCATTGGACTCCACATGGACATCACCTCCGGGGCCCACACGGACTCGCTCATTGCACACGCAGTGTCGCGTGGCTTTAGCCAACCCCTAGCTCGGTCTGCGGGGCGAGGGGGGAGGGGCGCACCCTTGGTTTTATTTAATAAAGGAAAGAAAACCAGGAAGAAAAAAGATCTGGCCTGAGTGGGTGGAGCAAGGGGCTCCTCCTTGCAAGGCGAGACCCCGATGTGAGCGAGAGCCCTGCGGTAGGGCCCAGCGCTCCGCCCAGCTGACCCCCTCCAGCGCGTCCCACCTCCTCCAGCCATTCCCACGGGGAGACCCATCACTCGGCTTCTTCCGAATCGTACTCGAGGTCCTGGAGAATTTCACTGATTGCCTCCATGGTTTTAATTAGCCTCGGAGAGTGGATGGAAACTATAAATAACGGCCCCACGTGGGGCTGGGAGAGTAAAAGCGGGTGTGTGTCTGTCTGTCTCCACAGGGCTGCACCAGTTACACGTAAGGCGTGACTTTAAACCAGCGTATTTAGAGCAGGGCCGAAGGCCGCGTGGCCGCTCTTATTCGGCACCAGCTCAGGGATAATTTGGTGATGCAGAAGTCGATCGGGAACGGGTTTGCGTTAAACCCCAGTAAACCACTCAGACCCAATCTGCCTCCGCCCCAGGTCTGCCCCCAGTGCCGTGTGCGCAGCCCAGGCCGGAGTGCGATGGGCAGCCATGGGCGGCACGGCCCGGTCAGCTACACGTGTCCTGCCGGCCATGGGTGATCACGCTGCAGCCTGGCTGGCGAGCCTGAGCTGGCGAGCCTGAGCCAGCTCCTCTCTGGGTGAGGTATGACAAGGGGCTGCCGTGCCCGCCCAGCCCTGGCATAGGCCCGAACAAAGGGGTGCTAGGCTCAGGTGCCCTGGCGAAGCTGCGTGCCGGGGGGGGGGCGGGGTGCACGCACAAGGGGCAGCAGCAGAGTCTGGGGCAGGGGGGCTGGAGGTCAGGCCTGAGGTGTAGTGGGGACAGCAGCGCCGCTGCACCCCCTCTCTTGGCGTGGGGCGGCCCTTCACACACCCCAGCCTCACGTCCCCCCTGGCTCTCCAGTAACGAGTATTTAAACCAAACTGCCCCGTCTGGGGTCCAACTGACCAAGGCTTTACACGTGGCTGCCAGGGTTTCTGCAGACCCAACCCCAGCCTCCTGGCTGAGACACCACCGCCCTCCTCCTGGGGCTGCTCCCTGAGCCCTGCCCCTCCAGGCTGGCCACAAAGAAAGCGAGAAGCCTTCCCCACCACAGCCCCCTCCAAGGCCTCCCCGCTGGGCGCAGGCTGCCCGCCTGGAGCCCAGGTCACGCCCTCCCCCCCCGAGGGTCTCAGGGCTCCAGGAGGCACCTTCCTCTGCTCCACCCAAGGGGCACATCTTCCCCAGGGCCTGGCTGGATTGCATGACTCACCGGTCGCATGACCAGGCTGTGACCCCCCCCTCTATCTCCCCTGTGACAAGGGGCCTCGGAAGAGCAGGGGGAGCCCACGGCTGGAATGGGTGGGGGGCTGCAGGTCAGGACAGAGTCTGTGGAGGAACTGGCCCAGCCCCGGCCCACCTTGTCCTTGGCTCTGGCCCAGCGTCTGGGGCGTGGGGCTGGTGGAACTCGCTGCCGCTTTGCAGGTGCCCCTTGCCCTTTCCCGGGCACGCTGCAGAGGCCAGGCAGCAGCGATGGGCAGGGCTGTGAGGTGCCCGGTGCAGTGCTCGTGGGAAGGCCCAGCAGGAGACAATCGTGGCGCCATGGTGGGATGAGACAGGCACCTCCCTCACGGCTGCTGGATACAGGCCATCACCGCGGACCCACAGGCGGGGCGTGGCTCTACCCTGTCTCGGGGGTTGGAGCCCTGGGGCGAAAGGGGAGCTCCAAGTTCCCAGACCAGCCAGTGGTCAGAGTGCCCCAGGGGCTTGGGTACGAAAGGGGAATGCTCTCACCATTTAGCCTGGCCCTCCAGGGCACAGTGATGGGCAGCCCCTGGTGCCACCAGCCTGGGCTGGCAGCAGCATTGGTGGCATGTCACTGAGCAAAGGAGACAGCGACAGGACTCTGAGCTCCCACCTGCCTTTTATTGAGCCACAAACCAGCCCAGCCCTAATGCCAGAGAGTTCTTTGCTTAATTCTTAAAACAAACAGACTTGAAAGAGGTCACAGCACGTGGTTAAAACGCTTTGCTGCATGGGGGCGGGGGGGGCTTTCCCAAGCACCCAGGGGATTTAGGAGCACGGCACCCCCCCACAGCCACCTTGGCACTTGGAAAATCCCTCTCCAAATCCACAGGTTTGGCTCTGTCTGTACTCAAAGGGCTCCTGGCTCTGCAGGAGGAAGGGACCTGGAGGGAGGGGGCGTTCAGCCCTGCCAGACAGACAGCGACACATCTAGGCTGCACGCTGATCCTGCGCGGCGGGCTCGAGGGCACCCACCCACCCGGCACCGAACTGGGAAAGCTTGTCAAAGGGGCTCAGCCCCCAAAGCTGCTGATGTTCTCAGTGGGGGGTTCTCCATGGCTCTCAGGCAGGAGGAGGGTTCCCCATTGTTCCCAGTGGGACCTGCTGGCTGTGGAGCCCTTTTGCAAACCTGCCCCTGTGCTGGAACAGCCCAGAGTCGAGCTGCTCCTCTGTTGCAAAGGCTGCTGCCCGCCTGGCAGAGGGCCCTGGACAAGTCTCTCGCAGAGGCGCCAAGGCTGGGGTTTGCCAGGGAGAGGATCCCGCCATGGGGAGCGAGACCCCGACGTGAGCGAGAGCCCTGCAGTGCGGCCCAGCGCTCGGCCCAGCTGACCCCCTCCAGCGCTTCCCACCTCCTCCAGCCATTCCCACGGGGAGACCCATCACTCGGCTTCTTCCGAATCGTACTTGAGGTCCTGGAGAATTTCGCTGATTGCCTCAATGGTTTTAATTAGCCTAGGAGAGCGGATGGAAACTATAAATAAAGGCCATATGGAGTGTATTATCTGGGCTGCCTCGCGTTCCCGGCGCTGTTTATGAAACACTCGGCCGGGGAGAGGCTGATCAGCACCAAAGCCATGCGGCAGTGCTAAACAATCCGGAGGGCCGACAAACAAGAGAGCTTTTGAAGGCACCATCTGGGTCTCCTTCAGGCCTGGTTAGGGAGAGGGGGCCAAGGGATTGGGGAAGGCACTTTCATCCCCCCTGCGCCCTTCCTCCACCCCAGCCTTGAAGAAGGGATGATAAAGGAGCTGCCAGGGCCTGGAGCAGCACATGCCAAGTCCAGCCTGCTCCACCGCCCCCTTGGGGGATCCCATCCCGGAGCTCCCACTCCTCCCGGCAGGTCACATACGTCGCCCCCCAGCCTGGAGGGTCTGACAGGCAAAACACTGCTCAAATAAACAGCCGGCGTGCCTCCCCCCTGCTCCTTCCCCAAAGGCTGCTGGGTGCTGAGCTAGCCCCCGTCCTACCTTGGCCAGAGCAGTTCTAGACCCTGCCCCTCGAATCCAGGAGCTGGGTGCCCAGTGAGTGTGTACAGGGGGAGCCCCCAGCCCTCACCGCCCCGTCATGCCACAGGCTCAGCTGGAGCCATTCCCGCCTGGCTTCATGGGGGGGCTCCCACTAGCCCCTATGCTGGGGGGCAATGCCCCCCCCACCATGGGGCTCGAAGGCGTGAGGCATTCAGAGTGCCGTGGGCGGCAACGGGGTGGTGCTGTGCCCAGCTCCCGGGGCACCTACTTGTATTTGAGCTCCTGCACCTCCTGCTGGTGGGCTGGCACGCCGGGCTGGTCCTGGGCGTGCTGCCTGGCGAGCTGCAGCTGAGCCGTCTGCAAGGAGGAGGGCAGGTGGAGTCGAGCTTCCCAGGGAGGAGACACCAACCCCACCCGCAGAGCGGCGCCCGGGCTGGGCAACGTAGGCCAGAGTACCTGGCACCTCAGGGCCCAAACCCGCCCCGGGCTGCCGCGCAAATTACCACCACCACAGCCACATGGCTCCAGGGCGGGTCAGGCTCAGAGCGACCCCACCTCACCCCGGCCCCCGCTCCTCGATTCCTTGCACCAAAGGCCCCTCCAGCACAGGAGAGAGACGGGAGGAGAGGCTGGGCCTCAGGGCTATTGGCAGCAATGCCTCCAACCTACCGCGGAGCCTTGGGGAGATGACTGCTCCCCCTGCTTCGTCCATTCTGCCTGGCAGCTCTCTGGGGCCGTGCAGTGCCCCGCACAACCGGGCTCTGACCTCGGCTGGGGCCTCACACACAATACTAGCCCAGCGCAGCCAGGAGTGCAAGTTCCTGCCCTTTCGCAGCTGAGCGGTGGCTGTATGAGACAAGTTTGCTAGGGCTCAGCCCAGCTCCTAGGAAGCAGTGTCCCCAGTACTACACCCCCTCCCACAGCTGGCACCAGCAGCCCCCTGGCCTGACGGGGCTCTGAAGACTGGACGGCTCATGGGGGAGGAGGGGCGCTGCAGGGTAGGGGCGGGGAGCCTACTCTAGCGCTGCACCTGCCCTGTGAGTAGATCGAGGCCCTCAGCCTGCAGTGCGGCTGTCGGCACCTTGGACACCCCAGTGCAAAGGGGAGGAGACAGGGGCCTCTCACCAGCTCTAGCTTCTCCTTCTCCTTCTGCTGGACCCTGGACAGGTGCTGGGCAAGCTCCGGCCGCCCGTGCTCCGCCTGGAGCTGCTCCTTGATCTCCAGGATCTCCCGGGAGATGCCGCTGAAGGCCAGCGTGATCTCATGGACCAGCTGCCGGTAGCGGAGGAAGTCGTAGTGTGGCCCGCTGCTCAGATACGCCCGGTGGCCCCTGCAAGCCGGACAAAGCAACCGGTCATCTGACAAGGATGAGCCTCCCGAGAGCGCCCCTTTTACTAGACCCCTGCAGGGGATGCTCCCGACAAGCTCAGGAAGCATGGGCTGGGTGGTGAAGGCACTGAACTGGGCCTCAGGAGACCTGGATTCAAATCCCAGCTCTGTCACTGACTCTGTGTGGGCCTCAGTCCTTAAACGGGATAATGATGCTCTCTGGGGCAGGGAGTCTTTCTCTGGGCAGCACCTGGCATGATGGAGGCCTGTCTGGGGGCTGTACAGTAATAACTTCCAGGCACAGCAAATTGCAGGCAGGGATTTGTAACCCCAAAGCCTTTGCTCTCAGCTTGGTGCTGCAGAGAGGCGCACGGCCCCCTCCCTACCCTCTGCATGACCCCTGCAGTCAGCGGTTCAGGTATCTTCC